TTTGAGAAAGAGTCTTCTGCCCCGAGTTAAGAGCCATTTGTAATCTTCTCCAATGACCTATAAGAAAGAGGAATGTCTGGAAACTCCTCAAACTATACAAACTGCAAGTCAATCAAAGTAATGCAGGCTTATTGATTTAGCCACAGGGCCTGTATCAACAAGCAGATCTCTGTTCGGGATAAATTTTTGAAGGCAGGTACTTTGAATGCAATTAGTATAGCTTACATATTTGAAAAAAAATAATAACAGTGTTTATATTCTGTTTTGGTTGAATGATTATTGACTCATAATAAATTGCTTCTTTGTAGGATTGTCATTTTTTTTAGTTTTTCCCCCAAAGTGTTCAGAGAAGAGTAAATCCTGGGTAAGGATGTTTTGGGGGAGAATTAAATACTGACTGAGTAATGCGTGTTGGGCATTGTGTTTGGTATTTTACATAAATTATTTTTTTTAAGATTTATTTATGCATATAAGAACTGGGGTGTAGGCCAGAGTTGTGGGGAGGGGGTGAGACGATTCACCAGAGACAGAGTGGGGAACAGAACAGATGGATCTACTGAAGTACACTGCTGAGGGGAGCAGTGGGTGAGACAGGAGAGGTCTGCTGTGGCATGTGGGTAGCTCCCTGGCTGGGGATGGAACTCGTGCTGCAGTGGCTGTGGATAGCTTCATAGTGCTGTAACTTAACCTCTTATGCCACCAGGGAGGCCCACATAAATTATTTTTTAAGGACAACTTTGTGAGGTAAATTTTTAAGTCAGTTTTTTAGTCATTTTACCAATAAAGAAACCAAGAGTTATGATTCAGCAGTTAATACAGTGTTGAGCTGGGAATCTAACCAGTCTGACTCTTGAATTTACTATGCAGTGTGGGGTTGATGAATTGAAAGTTAAATTTGAGGCAGGTTTTGAGAGTTGTGGGCCATTGGATAGGGTGCTGCACTGAAGAGCAGCTGCAGAGCCCACTTAATCAAGTTTTTAAATTGCACCCTTTGTATGAACTGCCTCAGGCACAAGGCAGCCAGGGAACTTGTTTTAGCAGAATTAAATTCTTTTTTTTTTTTTTAAAGATTTATTTATTTATTTATACAAGCACTGGGTATAGTCAGAAGCACGGGAGGGTGAGAGAATTCACCCGAGCCAGAGCAGGGAGCAGAGCAGGCAGAAGGACCGAAGTACACTGCTGAGGGGAGCAGCAGGAGAGGTCTGCGCGCCACGTGGGACCCTCCTCTGGTGGCCGGGGAGCAGCCAGGGATCGAACCAGTGCTGCAGAGGCTGCGGGCAGCTTCGCAACCCAGCGCTCAACTGCTGTGCCACCAGGGAGGCCCAGAATTAAATTCTTTAATGGATTTTCCTCCCCATACCCTGAGAATATTTCTGGTCTAAGAGATACCTTTGTTTTTCCAGAAGATCTGTTCCACATAAAAGAACACAAACATTTCTAGTCTCATGAACAAAAGAAATGAAATAGGCTTTATTATTATTTTTTACTGCACATCAGGCATAAAGGTACTTCTTAATTTCTTTCTTGGCATGAAGCTGGAATTGTGCATGAAATGACTACCTTCAAACAAAGCCAAGGAAGGGGCCACCTTGGTGGTGCAGAGGTTAAAGACAGTGCTATCAAGCTACTGTCAGCCACTACAGCACAAGTTCGATGCCCCAGCCAGGGAGCTACCCACATGGTGCAGCAGAACTTTCCTGTCTCACCCGCTGCTCCCCTCAGCAGTGTATTTCAGTCAGTCTGGCTGTTCTGCGCCCCAATCTCTGGCTTACACCCCAGTTCTGGATGCATAAATAAATCTTTTTAAAAAAGCCAACAAAAGTGACATTGTAAGTGTTGATTATGCTTTGATAAATGGACGAGCAGTTCTGCTTGTCAAACTTCTCACACTAAAGGGTTGACTGTGGATTTGAAAGTGGGGCCTCTCCCTCTTCCTCCTTTTAATATATGGAGCTTAAATATGAACATTTCAGGTGAAATAAAAGTTTCAGACTTGCAAATTTTTGTCAGGAAATCAAAAGGAACAGAGGGTTGCAGGGAGGGGGGATGCATAGGAGATAAGAACACCTCTTAGTGTCAGCAGGATGGAAATCAACAAGATAATGAGGATTGCTAGAGTAAATAATTTCCATTTTATCCCCAGTAAGGATATCCCTCCCTCACCTTTCAAATTCCCTGCTTACCTCCTGCACATCCAAAACAAATGATATCTACTCTTCAGTCCTGAGAGCCCCGAAGTAGGTGTAGTTATGGATTCTAAAGTGTTTCTCTCTGGGGCCCTCTATCTTAAGCTGGTAGATCATGGGCATTAACATGTATGTTGGTTTTATACTTGTTTTGCAAAGCCCTATTTGTTTTTATCATTTGAATTTGTGAGTGTAGTAACACCTCCCAAAGTGTATTTGGTATTCTTATCTTGGGGATTCATGATAACTCTGGAATTTCTGCAGAAAAACAAGAGGTTCTGTATAATGTCTCCAGTTAAAGCCAGCATAAATGCAAAACCAAGTGGTGAGGTTGTGTATACTCCCCCATTTAAAAATGCCATTTATTTTTTTCTGTTTCACTTCACTAGCACAGATTATGACACGTCTCCGGCCCACATCGCAGGAAGATATTGCATTTTTAAAAGCAACACTCTGATTATATGGCATGGGTTTAGCCCTTGAAGGGAAAGGACTCTAAGAAAGCTGCACTAAATTGCTTAAGTGCCATAGACAGATACCCCCCAAATCCTTTTTATTGTCATTGTTCTCCCGTGGAGGGGAATGTTCGGACCAGCTAGCCATCTGGGGCGTCACTGGTCACTTCGTTGGCTTGGTGTAAAAATGAGGCACATAACCATATAATAGGCACTTCTTTTTCTTTCAGGTATGTGGGAAACACCTCAGGTTAAGATAAGTTCAGCACAAAGACCCAGCACTTTCTGGGATGGCCATCGAAAGGAGACCCCGGCAACTCAAGCATCAGTGAAGTGTAAATTGCCTCTGGAAGCCTCCACTGCTCATGTTCCTTCATACTCCTCTGTTGGATTTAGAAACTTGGACTATGTTGCCAGCATAGTTAGTACTTGAAAACAAGAAAAGGATAGCCTTATCTGTCCTCAGTGATATTTAATGGAAAAACATCTCGCCTGCGTACGTTTTAGTGGAGAATCAGGTGGTATATGACCTCTTCTTCTTGATAGAAGACTAACAAGAAGGGAACACAGTTATGTCAGTTGCTCTGGGAAAAAAATGACAGATTAGGCAACATAACAACATTTTTGTCTAAGATGCTTTTTTAAAAAGAAAATCATATACCATCACAAAGTTCACTTAACCCTGTTTATTCATTCCATCTCATTTTGCAAAGAATTTAAAAAGGCTAATATTTTTACACATTGGGATCTATAAGTTTTTTTAAAGAATTATTTATTTATGCATATAAGAACTGGGGTATGGGCCAGAGATGCAGGGGAGTGAGTATTCACCAGAGACAGAGTGGGGAACAGAACAGGCAGACTGACTGAAATACGCTGCTGAGGGGAGCAGCGGGAGAGACAGGAGAGGTCTGCTGCACCATCTGGGTAGCTCCCTGGCCTGCTGGGAATCAAACTCATGCTGCAGAGGCTGTGTATAGCTTCACAGTGCTGTATTTAACCCTTGGCGCCACCTGGGAGACCCCCTGTAAGTTCTTTTATTATATCTGATCTTTGTTGAGAAAAAAGCTGATTCTATTTTCTTCCTTCCCTGGGCTAGAAATCCTGGAGTTGAGGCATTGTGTTGTTTGTAAATTACATTCCCAATACCTGGAACTGTGCCTAGCACACAGGAAGTGATCCATGAATATTTGCTAATGAAATGGGTTGATTAACAGAGACAAACGTAGAGTAGCAAATACTACCTTCATAGGGAGGGAGAAGGGTAATCAGATTTAGTTAGCTGACTGTGGAACTTATTTAAAGAGCTACAGAATGTTCTGTCCACATGACTTGGAAGGTTAAGGAAATGTGTTCAGGTGGGCAACCTCTGGATGTTGCTTTCATCAGTACATCCAGTCACTTGATAAATGAAATTTGAAATTAGTTTTCCACATCAGTTTACCAAATACTAAGAGTTACTTCATCTCTTATGCTAACATGTCTTGGATTTTTACTTATTCTCCTCTTTGTGGTGTCTTCTTATAGTAAAATTAGTTTTTTTTTTAAGATTTTATTTTATTTATTCAAGAGCTGGGGTACAGGCCAGATGTGCAGGAGGGTGAGAGGATTCACCAGAGTTAGAGCGGGGAACAGAACAGGCAGACTGATGAAATACACTGCTGAGGGGAGCAGCGGGTGTGACAGGAGAGGACTGCTCACCATGTGGGTTGCTCCGAGGCGGGTGGGGATCAAACCGGCACTGCAGAGGCTGCGGACAGATTCACAGAGCTGTGCTCAACCACCTGCGCCACCAGGGAAGCCCCAGAAAAATTAGTTTAAGCCTGACTAGTGTGTTCTAGATTGCTAACTGGTGGTCAATGTAACTTATCTTCCTTGAAACATGGTAAGCTTTATTTTCAAAAGAAGTAATTTATAAAATAGTGTTTATTTTGAAATATAGTAGTCCCTCTTATCCAGTTTCATTTTCCATAGTTTTAGTTCCCCATGGTTGAAAATATTACGTGCAATAAAATATTCTGAGAGCGCTCACATTCACTTAACTTTTATTATAGTGTATGGCTATAATTCTTAGTTATTGTTGCTAATCTCTGTTACTGGTTATTGTGGTTAACAGTGCCTAATTTATACAGTAAACTTTATCATAGGTCTGATGTCTAGGAATAAACGTGGGATAGATCATTGGGTATTGTCTGTTGTTTCAGGCATCTGTCTGCTCAGAATCTTGGAAGGTATCTCCTGAGGATAAGAGTAGGCTACTGTAATATGTTCTAGTTTTGTAAAAACTAAAAAGGAACCAACAGTATCATCTTAGCCTTTGAAAAATATGTTCATTTTTACTGTTGTCTTATTCCAGGCTGCGTCACTCCCAACTGCAAGCCCGCACACTCTCAAAGGGGGCAGAAAAGCTGGGCAAGAACCAAGTCCCACTGGGGAATGTATCTTGAAAATAAGGTAAATATAATGCACTTTAAAATATGTCTATGGATAAAATGAATATTTGCTGAACCATATGTATCATGATGCTCTTGAATGAAGAAAGTAGATATTTATAAACTCCTATTGTCAGGTTGTGTTCTTAATCCATAAATTTACAGAGGCAAGCTTTCCTTGATCAGCTGTATCTGCTCACGACGTTGCACCCATTTCTCCTACCATCAAAAGGGGTGCAGGAAAAAACTAATGATAAAACCTTCCTGTGTCTTTCCAATTAAGTCTTTAAACCCCACAGCTGAGGGCCAGAACTCCTAAGGGGATGTTTTTTCCAGGCTGTGGTAGCAGCGGGATCGGTGTGTAGATAACCTGTCCCTTTTCTCCAAGGTCTCCTTTTCTCTTAGCTTGTTTCTCCATACAGGGGGACCATGTCAACTCTATCACAAATCTGTTTTTGCATTTGAATATATACTCCATAGAGTTCCTTATTTTTTATAAGTTTCTCTCTGACAGGTAGACTCAGACAACATCTCTCCCTAAAACCGAAATGTTGATATAAATATCTGAAGAAAAATTCTAATCACAGCATACATTGAACAGGCTCACTGATCTTGTATACCTGGAAAAAGATTTTCAAACAGACTTTGTCAGCTCAGCCTTGGCAATCCTTGTCAAACAAAAGCATGCCTAAAGACACATTTCAAAAGCAAACGAGGCAGCACTTGCTAACCTGCAGAAAATCGAAAAGGAATGCAGAGGCCAAGAACAAACAGAATAAGAACCAATGAGAAAGAGAGCACAGTTCTGAGGAACCATTTCAGAGAACCAAATATGTTTTTTAAAAGACCACATCAATAATTAAATATCAGCAAGTCAAATTCTATTTTTTGCTTGCTGCGATTGTCTCAAGATTTGTAATGAAGAAATGATCAATTCAGCCTCAGCAAAAGAGCTAATACTTACAAAGAGGGTTGGATGATGAGAAAAAATGGTGGCAGAGGGAAAGAAATCTTATTTTTGACTTGCACACAAGTTTAGTTATCTTCAATGAAATCAGAATTTAAACATTTCAATTCATGGCAGTTTTGGGTAGTTTTAGCAGAATTTAAAGTCTATCTCATTTTTCTTAGAGGTGAGACCTTGTCTCTCCTGGTACTTAGTGTGGGCTCACTGCACAGTGATGTGATAATGTGCAGGACACTGTGATACAAGCCCAAGGCAAATGATGTTCAAATATAATCACGTGGTTTCCTATGCTTTCATATTTTTTCTGTCTGTTTTCAGTGTTACTTATAGTGCAACTTCAGCAATAAATTTCTTTTTGTTTTAAAGATTTATTTATTTATTTATTTATGCATAAAAGAACTGGGGTACAGGTCAGAGGTGTCCGTGGGGGTGGGTGAGAGGATTCACCAGAGACAGAGTGGGGAGCAGAACAGGCAGACTGATGAAATACACTGCTGAGGGGAGCAGCGGGTGAGACAGGAGAGGTCTACTGCGCCATGGGGACCCACACCGGCCAGCCAGGATTGAACCCGCGCTCCAGAGGCTGCAGACAGCTTTACAGTGTGGCACTCAACTGCCTGTGCCAACAGGGAGGCCCAGTCATGGGTATTCTTTATGTATTCTGGATACAGGCTCTATCAGAAATATAATTTGTCAATATATTCTCCCAATCTGTGCTTGTTCTTTTTTACTTCTTTAATTGTGTCTTTTGAACCTCAAAGCTTTAATTCGCCAATTCTTTCATGGAGCATGAATTTGTTATCACACCTGTAACTCTTAGCCCACACAAGGTCATAAAGACTTTCTCCCATGTGTTCCCCTAAAAGTTTTGTAGTATAATTTAGCTTTTATGTTTAGGTCTCTGATAATTTATTCTTTCATGAGCAATATTTGAGTTTTGTGAAAATGCAGATGAAAGTTTTGGTTCCTAAAGAAGTTTATAGTCTATTGGGAAGGTAAATGCACTTAAAAAAGTACTTGTTGTGTGGCAGAGGTAGGCAGATTTCATTTTTTTATGAATTAAATATTTTTTCTTACATTGCTGTAGTCCCCATAATTCTCCTGCCACCATATCACCTTGGAACCACAATTACATTCCCTTGTGTTCACTGCTCCCCTGATTTGCCCCCCCTTCTACCTCCTCCTTTGCTATATACCTCAATCCCATCATCAATTTACTAGTTTTGACTTGTTCTTGACATTTTGTTTGGTTTCCCTATATTCCACATATAAGTGAGACCATCCAATATTTATCTTTCTCCTTCTGACTAATTTAGGTTAGTATAATCCCTTCTAGTATCATCCATATTGCCACAAAGGCTTGAGTTTGTCTTTTTCATTGCTGAGTAATATTCCATTGTATAAATATAGAGGTAGGCAGATTATACTGAAAGAGTACAGGAATACAAGATCCAAATTTACTTGTAGGAGTGAAGTTCTGTTTTCCAGAGAAGTTACTGTTGGAGTAAGACTCAGAGAGGAGTGGAGGATGACCAGGTAGCATCTTGAGGGAGGGCTATCAGGCAGAAGTAAGAGCACATGCAAAGGTAGAGGCAGCTGGATGAGCAAAATCATTAGAGAATTGACAGTCTGGTAGGGAATGGAGGATGATAAGGCTTATCTAGTGGGTAGTCAATAACCAGTTCTTTTAAGAATATGAAAAAAGTTTAAATTTTTTCATCTAGCCTTTGAAAAATTTGCACAGGTGAGCAAAAAATTAGATTGTGGAAAAAAATAATTTTGGTGATAGAGTAGATAGCAAAGGAGGGTAATAACAATATATCCTGTGGATTACACACACCAGAATCACCTTGTCAGATTCCACCAGTACCCACTAATCAGAAACTGGTGGCTGGATCTCACAAATTTTTTAAAAAAGCAGTTTCCTTAGGTTATTATTAAGCCCTGCATAAGATAGATACCACTGGGTTAGAGAACAGAGCAGTTAGGAGGCCATGGTTTTAGTTCAGGAACGAGATAATCAGAACCTTATCCCAGCAGTGGCAGTGGTAGAAGATAGTAAGGGAAAGGTATGAATATTAAGAAGGGGAGGAATAAGCAAGATTTGGTGATATGTTGCATGTGGGAGAAGAGAAATGTATACTACTTGGATTGACAGTGGTGCCACTCAATCAGGAAATTCAGTGGGAGGAACAGTGGGTGGAGATGAGTGGGAGAGGCAGTCTTAGAGATTCCAAGTTTAAGGGGCTGGTGGAACACCCAGGGATGCTATCTAACAGTGATTACATAAGCAGTTTAAGAAAGTGGCTTGGGCTGGAAATAAGAGACACAGGCAACTTCAGATGATACTTGTAACCGCGGGTTTGAGTATATTAGAAAATACAATAAAATAATTTTGTTAGGACTGGGGGAACATGCCTGAATTCCTCATTAAATGTGCAGAGGTGCCCTCTAGAAACCAATTAGGCTTCAGCTTGATACCTCATCATGTATTAATGCATGAGAGTTTAATTGCTTCTCATCGTGAATGGCTCTTTTCCCTCAGTGGAAATTTCACTCATTCAGAGGTAGGTAAGTGGTTTAGTTAGCTATAACAAACCCCAGATGTTCAGTAGCTAAACACAATAAAAATCTATGTCTTCTGTATGTACCAGTCCAATGCAATCGGCAGGAAGTTTCCTCCATGTGGTGATTCAGGGACCCAACTCCTTACAACATCTGGCTCTACCATCCTCTAAAGCCTCAAGAGATCTATATCCAGACTGAAGCTGGGAGGAGAGAAGGGAGAGAGATATCCACTTCTTAGCCACCTTGGCCCAGATATGACCTTGACATACATTTGGAGGGTGGTTAGTCTTCTTTAGAACAGCAGTCCTACTGAAAGTTTAGAGAATATTCCAACCTGACATCTGGAATAGACTGAAAAAATACCCATGGAAGTGTCTATTAACTAACCTTAATTTGAGCCCCTGCTCAGCACTATTTCAACCTGAGGTGTAGAACTAAAGCATGAATGCACTGACCAATCAAAAGGTATTGATTTGGCACCTACTATGACCATAGAGTGATGTAAAACATTAGGTTTAAGTTATTACCCTTCTCCTTCTGGAAGCAAGAGTGATCCCATGAAGTGATCAGTGATTGGTACTAGAGAAAAGAACAACCTTTAGTAGTAAGTAGTTTTCTATTTTTAGGAATAAAATCCTGGCAGGCAGGGGGATTGAAGGCAGCATATCTGAGGAGGTGGAGCTAAGACTAAGCCTCACAGACCAAGATTTGGCTGTATGGCGAGGAAGAGGGTGATGCCAAGAAGAGCAGAGGAATGTGAAGACATGAAGGCACAGACACAGCAGCGATGTAAGTATTCGTGGAAACCAGGGTGATAGAGCAGAGGTCATGTGCTGGGCAATCAGCTAGCTCAACAAAATTGCTTTTATTTGTTACTGCAGCATAAAACTATAGTTTGATAGATGTGTACCATATTTGGCTTCATGGGGAGAGGGTTTTTTTGTTGGAGATCAAAGAAAATGAATAGTGTTTTTTAACCTCTAAATTGTAATTCACAAGGGCAGCTGCTTTAAATTGCAGGCTTTACTTTGGATTTTACTGTTTCTCACATTGGCAGCTCCATGTAACTTGCTCACTCTTTGTAGTGGGCTCCAGGGTGAGCGGTGGCAGGGATTTATTTATTCAACAATGGTTAATGATTCTCCTGAGCCAAGCAGGGTAAGACAGCTTGTGGAAAATAAGGCTATCTTGGTTGAATGGGGTCATGTTATAAAGGGTGTTGACAGTCAGATGACTGAGTTCAGACTTGATGCTGGTACTGGGGAGCCATCGAAAGTTTCCAAATAGGTGAGTAACTTTTTAAGAGTGTTAGTTAATGAAGATTCATCTTCCATCAATATGCAGGATGGCAGGAAATGAGGAGGCTGGTGGAAAGGAGTTCCTGCAGACAGTTTTAGAAATCCAGAGATGTAGGGCTGAGGTCTGGTGTAGAAGGCATGGCAGAAACAGTAAATGTGAGGGAGGAGTCGACATTTTAGGATTATGGAGCTTGGAAGGGAATTAGTGGATGGCAGAGCGAGAAGGTGATGATCTGAGAGATTATGAAGGAGCTGTAGGTTGACAGCATGGCCAGTGAAGAATGCTCACCAGCTCTCTAGTCTCTCATAGCGAGGGGGGGTGGAGGGTGGGGGTGTGTGTGGGGGAGAGAGGGTGCATTTCCAGCTCAGTCCAAACACTTGCTTCCCACAGCTAGTAGGCTTTGCTTAGAGTCCCCTCAGATGCACAGCAGCCTTCTAATCAGGATAAAGAATTGCAAGCCAAGGCTGAAGGCTTTTGAATAGTCTCTAATTTTTATTGACAGCCTCGAAAAGTTCTAGATGCACTTAGCACCTCCAAAGAAGCGCTAAATGATTTAACATTTTGGGGACAAATTGGTTCTATTAGTCTCTAGTGCCAAATTCACCAAAAATAGCTCATTAGCTGTGCATTGTGATTCCACTAGGGTGCCCTGCTCTTGGCTGGATTCCAAAGAACACATTTGTATAAAAATGTTCCCATTATGGAGTGTGATACCTATTAATGGAACACCATATGCAGCAGAGCATCTCCCCTTGCTCCTCCCTGTCTTTCAACCTGAAGTTTGTATTTTCCATCCATTTTTGCCAAGTGACCTACTTTGCAGAGGTTAAACTTTACCTAATGGGCTAAGGCCTGAGATGCTGCAGCAATCAATCTTTCATCTGGATGTCAGCATCTTGGTTTTCCCTTTCTCTGTGCCTACCGCCAGCCCTAACCCTTTCATTTCATCCTAGCCTGGGGGGAAGGAAGGGAGG